AGCTCATCCTCGCAGTGGGTCTTGATGGTCACGTCTGAGGTGGCGTAAGTCACGCAAGTCAAGCAGAAGCCCTCGCCCATCTGGTCATCGTCCAAGAAAGCCTGATCGCTCTGATCAATCTCGCCCTCCAGGACCTTGCCAGCGCAGCTGGAGCAAGAGCCGGCGCGGCAGGAGTAGGGCAGCTCCAAGCCCTCCTCCTCAGCCTGATCCAGGATGTACACATCCTCAGGGCATTCCTTGTTTGCAGGTGGCATGGTTGTGAAAAGTTGAACGTTTAATACCTGAAGACCCAACATGGTAACTTACAAAACTGCTGTGGAGTGCTGCCATGTTGCAAAGGACTGGGTGCCATCTGGAGTCTCGAGCGTCACCTTGAAGTGGGCGGGCACACCAGGGCGAGCGGGGACGGTGTTAACGATGGCAGGCACATTGCCGGAGGCCAGAGCACCACCCGACAAGGCCTGGCAGCCCATGTGGACGCTCTGCTGAGGTGCCACGAAAGTCTGCTGGCTCGGTGCCCAGAAGCTGCGAAGCACAGCCACGCAGCAGGCAGCGGCCACAAGCACTGGCAAGGTGCGGCTCTGGGAAGCCATTGTGACTAAGTGTCTACAGTTTCCAAGCGCGTTGCTGTGCAAGGACCCTCCGTGGCTTGAGCAACGGCGAGACAAACGTGCAGGTCAAGGGTCCTTTGTGAGTCCGTTCGAGGCCTGCTTACTCGCAGGTAAATGCACGAGAAGCCGACACCTCACCCAAAGCTGACTCAGCTCGCAGCGGGATGTGCTTTCGTGCCTCATTCAACACCTTCTGGGCATCCTGGCGGCTTTGCCAAAACGTTGTCAGTTATTTTTTGCAAATCTCATAGAACCCCATTAAGGGTTCCTTGAGGGCTCTATGAGGTTCCCCCGGGAGTTGGTTCAGTTTTCAGGTTCAAGGTTCCTTGCGCGCTCAGCGAATTGTCGTCCAAGCCTTTAAAGTCGGTAGCCTTGCCAGTCGTACTGGTGAGAACTCTTCACATCCTTTTATTGTGACTTTTTTGCCGGTGTCCTTCTAGCTTTGTCCTTTTCCGGTGTCTTTCTAGCTTTGTCCTAGTATTCGAACATGGCATCTTAGCATTGTGCTTTTGAATATATTGTTGCTATTTTGTTCTGATTGTCGGAGTGCTACGGGGGATGATGCTGGTGGTGATGTCGACAGTGACGAACATGAAGACTGGTATGACCCAAGATGCGGCTGCGACAAGATCGAGAGGCTGTGCTATGGTTCTCATGATCATGATGGCTCTGGCAGCTGCTACATCAAGTCCGCAGGCTACTTCAGAAGACATCTGAGCTTGAAAGCCCTTTGCTAAACTCTTGAGCTGATACCTTGTACGCGGATAGCTTTGCCAAGGCCAGCCACATCTCCACCTCAGCGGGCTCTCTTTTTTGGTCCCCAGTATGGTGTAAATACCTCATGAGAAATTCGAGAGGCAATCCTGTAGAACGAACAGCTCTGCCCAAGTGCGCCATGTAGATGCTTTACGCCACAGTACGCCTCTGCTTCCTACGGCTTTATGTTAGTGAGCCCCAACGCAGAGCGACCAACATCTCGAGCCTGTTTCATCAGGGCAGAGAATGCTTGAAGCGAGCCCTCAACCGCTTGGCTCTGAACCTGAATCTGCAACGCCGTGCCTCCAGGCTACGATCGGCCTCCGAGCGAGACAAAGTCATGCCCTGTTGGCGGAACCGCTTAGGCCGGGACGCTGTGAGGTACGCACTCCACGGCGCGGCTTAGCATGACACGGGCTTCCGTCTCATCCTGCGCATTTCGAAGAGGCAGCAAGACTCGAACGTGCGTTTCTCCTTTGACGGATTCGGGCTTGGCAGTCTCCGCACCATGCGACTGAAATCTCAAACTCCTTGTAAGGTACTGTCCAATCTGTATACATCTGGCGGAGCTTGTGAATTCAGATCGTGTTGACCACAACATATCCCGCAAACCCAAGTAGACATCCTGGGTTCTTGCTCAATCTAAGTTACAACAATAAGGAACCATCCCATTTAATGTGGCTTCCTTGGTGGTAGCTTAAGCTAAGCTCCTCAACAGGAGCCCTACAAAACAGAACCCAGAACAGCCCGTAAGTCCACACACCTTTGTAGACGCCTATAAGACGCTTGCGGACGCCTATAAACCCCATATTACATCAACCTCGCTCACAAGCCCGAGCGTCGCTTTGTCTGCTGAGGCATCTGTCCGAGTCGCCCACATTGTCACGGTGTGCCCTCCAAATACAGTCACCGTATTTTTTGCGGGGTTCGGCATGGCTCCAGACGGCTTCGAACGTGCTTATGTACAGGCTTGGAACAATGCCTTGAATCTCTAAGCCTGTAATCTCAAAGCCGAACCCCTCGGCCATAATCCGTAATCACCCCCCCCCCCACACAGTACACACATTATGATGGGTGAGACCTGTGAGTATAATCACCGTCGCCGCGATGCTCCCTGAAACCCTGAAGTTTCAATGAGCCCCCACAGGCCTCCAAGCTAACGGCCTCCTTCCACAAACGGACGGAGTTCGGGATGAACTCTAGGGCCTCCAGCCAAAGCGAGTCACAACGCGCGAGCGAGCGGTGTACAAAACCACTTGACTTGGGGATTGATCAGCTGCTTTTCGGTCGCTTTTTGGGCCAAGGTTCTCTAGAACGTGTAGGAGTCTCGGTTGCCTTTAGATCCTTGCGCCGGGTTTAGCTGTCCTTTTAAAGGGGAGCATGTCCTCCTTCGCCTTATTTCTGAGGCTCCCAACTTCCAAGTGATGGGCAGGCTCGGGTTCTCTCCAGGATTAAAAGCCTGAGGGTTCTCGGGCCTCAGGTTCAGCTTCGTATGATGACGAGTATTAGGGTTTAGGGCTTAGGATGACTGCAACCTAGTTTGAATTTTTGTTGATCGTGTCATTGGCATTCGTAGTGCGATCTAGGACATGCCCCCCCAAACAGGGGGTTGTTTCAAACGAAGTGGTTATAGCGTACTCGGCCCGAGACGTCGCTATCCTGATTGAATTATTCTGACTCCTCTTGTGATTCATGCTAAAGACATCGTCGTCATCATCATCGCCATCGCCGTCACCGCATGGTCGTGACCATGATGAACACGAGGACGATCATGATGATGATGGTGGTCCGCCTCACCAGTATTATCGTTATCACCAACAGCACCAACAACATCATGACCGTCAGGCTAATGACGACACTGCTATCTGCGGAACCAGTAAAGACGAGCAAAGGAATTCACTGAGCAGGCTTTGTGGTTTGTAACACATTGCGTTATCGACTCAACACAAGTTTATGTCTAGGCGAGGAGTTTTAGTGGGTATCCATCCCCGCCCAAACCCCTAAAGCAACGCCCAGGCGGCAACCCCCCATATCCATCCGGCCCACACCTTTCGCAACACCCGGCTCTTCGCTTGCAGGTCCTCGTCGGGGAGGTTGCAGAGTGCTTTGGGATATCACCGGGTACTTAGAGGTTTGGGGGTATTTCGCGGTTCACGGGTTTCGCTGCGTTTCGCCGCCCAAAAATGTTGCACCTGAGTTCGAAAGAATGGGCCCCCAACAGCTCTCACAGCAGCGGTTGCTCAAAAGCGCTCACCCATGCTTGCACTGCCGCGAGCTACAAACATGCAACCTCAGGATCAGGCCCGCGATCCAAACGAATCGGAGAACACTAAGGGTATTTGTACCCGCAGCTACCGTTGAGGACTTCGGTTCTAGCGGCTAGCGCTTAAGATTGAGGGCTTAAGGTACTTGTACGAAAGCACCGAGCTACGAGACAACCACCTGGTACAGTAATGATGCCCGTTCTATCGGCATAGCTGCGGCAATCATATACAACCTCTGTGTACCTTTCTATGTCCAGTCACAAGCTTATGCAAGAGGACTCGGTGATGGTTTTAGGGGAGCATAACGGTTTCTTGAAAGCTCGTTTTAACTGGCTTGGAAAAAGGCTTCTACTGCTTCGGATCTTGGTTACGGTCTCTTGTTCTCAAGTGCGTCAGTGCAAATATCTCAGGATTAGAAGACCCGCGACAGCGCCCTCTGAAGACGGGTCGAACCCCCTGGGGTGTGTTACTTTCCCTTGCGGCTCCGTCTCGCGATTGGCTGCATCGATCCATAGACGCACCGAGTGCGGCAGGGACTTCACTGCCTGACACGCAGAAGTCTAGCTTCCACCCCCAAAATCAAAAAAGTGAGATGCTGACTCCCTCTGTTTCTGAGGCTTCTCACAAGATGTTGGAATCTTGAGTCGAGGTTCAAAGTACTCGGATTATCTAGCGTGCAACGCAACACAACAAAACACCCAGTCCGCAAGGAAGCGCAGCATTACACTATCATGTTACTAAAAATCATGTCATGAAATACAATACTGTAGTATTTGAGAAGGAGCCCTCGAGGAACTCTGAAGGTGCCTGCCTTGGCGAGCACCGCCTTGGCGTGCGTCGGCTTCTCCAATCGGGCGGCCTCAAGCCAAACGTCCTGACAGCCAAGGTAATCTTGGTGGTGGTGGTGGTGGTGGTGGTAGTACGAGTTAGAGTCGTGGCTGTTGGTGTTGGCGCCGCTGCTGTAAGGTGTCCAAATCTTCAGAAATGCCAACCTCCTTCTCGGCGGAAAGTAGTACTGGCCCCCTGTTTATTTTAGGGGCGGACGGTTCAAGCGCTGAGTCTTTGTGGGGAGTCAAAATGTAGGAAGGTGCTGGATGATATGCTTACCTGTTGCCCCTTTAGGTTCCGTTTTATGTTAAGCTTTGAAGAGACCCTTTCATGCGAAGATAAATTCTTCTTACACTGCAGAGATGAAACCTTAAAACCTCCCAGAACCTTCACACTTCCGGGCCACCTCTAAGCTAAAAGCCGATGTATCGATCCCGAACTAACTGGCTGGAACGTTTTGGAGACGGTCCTCGTTGTTGGGGCAGTGCTTGCAGCCCTGCGCAATAAGCTGCCGTGCAGACTGCACCTGGCCATATGACATGAAGATTTTGTTTTTGTGGCTTGCAGTGTGGAGGGCTTCTTGGGCTTCGGGGCGTACATGTGTGTTCCAGGTTCAGACTGATAGGGCTTGGGGTTTAAGAGTCATAGAGTGTCTAGGTGTACAGGGTTTTGGAGCTGTTGTCAACAAAGTCACCAGAACACTACATGCATGTTAGGGCATTGACTCTCTTCTTCTACTACCACAACTACTCCTCTACTACTACTACTACTACTACTACTACTGCTACTGCTACTGCTACTGCTACTACCACCACTACCACCACGACGACGACGACTACTACTGCTACCATCACAGCCACAAATACAACCACTATCACAACACCATTGCGCAAGTAGAATCACCGCTACCACTACCACTCGACGACTTCTACTTACTGCAATTCGTACTATTCTCTGATTTTACGAATATGGCCACTTCCAGCATCTCAAGTACGACTTGTGAGCAGTACTGGCAATCACAATACCGCCAAAACCTTACCGGTCCTCTGGAAGCATCCCTTGGCACTCTTGCCCTCTACCATGCGCAAGCCTTGCCGGCAACCTCCTCCAGTCGCGCCGCGGCAATCCAACCTGGCAGTTGAGAGCTCCAAGCCCAGAACTTCTCAGCTCTTTGGGCTTGCGGATGGGTGGAGATAAGGGTTATGTCGGTCTGGTGCTTGGAGGATTGGGTATAAGTCGGCTTGCACAAATCTCGGTATAAGTTCGTCTGCCACCGCCGATGGAGTCCTACTGCTAGATGCTGCTGCTGCCCGCGCCTACCATTGAACTACTACTGCTACTACTTCTGCTGCTGCTGCTGCTGCTGCCACTGCCACTGCCACTGCTACGACGACGACAACAACAACTACTACTACTACTACGACGACGACGACGACTACTACTACTACTAGTAGTAGATCTACTAGTAGTACTACTAGTACTACTAGTACTAGTACTAGTACGACTGTGTTTACGACTGTTACGACGTCGACAACGACGACGACGGCTGCTGCGGCGTCCTCCGACTGCAGCTGCTACTGACACTGCTGCAGCATAGGCGATACACAAAGGCGGTGGTGGCAGAGGAGTAGCAAGTAGTAGCAGCAGTAGTAGCGCCAGGAGGAGGAAGAGAAGGAACCTAAACAACAGTAGCAATGGCAGTCGGAGTAGAGTATGGGCAGGAGCAGGAGCAGGACGAGGAGCAAGACGACGAGGAGCAAGGCGACGAGGAGCAGGAGGAAGAGAAGCAGGAGCAGCAGGAGCAGCAGGAGCAGCAGGAGCAGCAGGAGCAGCAGGAGCAGCAGGAGCAGCAGGCGCAGGGGCAGAAGCAGGAGTGGAAAAAGAAGGAGAGGGGGAAGGAGAAGGATATAAGGAGATAAAAGATATGATGGTGAGGCTGACGCTGACGCTGATGCTGGTGCTGCTGGTGGTGGTGGTGGTGCTGCTGCATATGACTTGCCGCATATGTCGTAAGATCACTGTAAGATCACCGTACATGTGTGGCCAGGCGGAAGCTGGAGAGGGCCTCATGATGATTAGTTACGGCTACTCGGGTGCTGGCAAGACGACGACCCTGCTGCTTGTGGGCATTATTCGAACGTATCACTGGTTCAGAATCGGTTGTCTCGGCTGTCGACGTGATCTACAAAATCCAAGCAAGCCTTGACTGTGATTGAAATCTAGATCCGGGGTTATCACAAATTCCACGCCATCATGAGCCCTACAGTGGCAGATCTTGTTCGGCTTTGAGGTTTTTCTGCCAGTAAACAAGTCCCGAGGATCGGCGATGCCACCGCCCCGCTCGGCGGGGGTCGGGGCATTGACGGTGTACTCTCAGTCTACCTGAAGGAGAGTTCTTTGGGGCTTTGATCTTTTTCGGGGTCGCTGGTGCTGAGGTTGGTGATGCAGAAAAGATTGGACAATATGTTAGGATGGGGTTTAGGACGCGTGTTGGAGACCTTGGGCTTGAAAAAACTCTTGCGTGGTGGGAATGTGAGCACGAGAGCCCCCACTTCCTTATACTGAATCAGAACCAGCTTCATGTATGCAGGAGGATTTCGTTCAAGTAAGCATCTGTTTGCCTCTGCATTACTATCAACCCCAGCCCTTGAAGCAGAAACGGGTGAGCCGAAGCTACACTGGCAAGCTTAGGAAAGCATTTGCTTGGGGAATTACACTTCGAAGCGATCCGAGACATGAGCGGGTTCCGAACTGCAGCAGCGGAATATATATCTGGTAGCGGTAGACACCATCGATAATCTTTTGAGTCTTGACAAGGTAGAGAGGGATGCTCACATGACTCAAAACTCGGGCTTCGTGTAAGCACGTAGTAACGTAGTAGCAGAGACAAAAACTCCACAGTGCCTGTGAGCTCGACACAGCAGGTTCCTTTGGGTTTAGTATCCCGTGCGGTCATCTTCTTTCTGGCTGCGAAGCTCTGCGGTATCCTCACCTGCGTGGTCAGTCATTCGTGCAGTTTTCTTCCTTGCCCCGGTGGTGAGGGCTGTAATTCTCTGTCGTCGGTTGTCGTCGTACTCTTACGCTTTCAGCTGCTGCTGTCTCTTGCAACGTTTGTGTTGCTTGGCGGGTATCATGGAGGAGCAGCGACCTATCAGCACGAAATCTCAACCATGTCAACTCTGACCAGTCTCAAAAAACTGTCTCTCGGATCGAACTCCCGAAGCACCCTTCTCCACGAATCAGCCAGGAGAACGCCCACAAGATCGAGGATCGTGAGACGGGGGAGTCCTTGTTGTGCTTACGGTACCTGGTTTTTGTGCATGTTTTTGGGGGAGGCGGGTCTCGGCCTTGAGCAGACTTGGGTCTCAACTTTTCAGTTTTGGCATGAGGCTGTGGCCGTGATGGCTCCCGGAGCTTCTAGGCCTGTAGTTCTCTCCCCCTCTCTCCCTGTACTGGTTGTACTGGTTTCCAAAGGCTAACGAGGCAGCCCAAGCAAACCAGTCAGAGAGCTAAATCAAAGCTTTCTCGACTCCAGGACGTGAAGGTGAAAATCTTCGAGGCTGCCGAGTTGGGGCCGAGAATGGGGCGCGAGACAGGCGTGATGAGGAGTGATGCTGATGACAACGATGACGACGATGCTAACGAAGATGGCGCTGATGAAGAGGTCGTAGTTGCAAGTTGCACTAACCCATGGTCGTCCTCCCAGTAGCCGTAGTCGCAGCAGCAGTAGGAGAAGCAGTACCTGTAGCAGCCGGAGCCGGAGCAGTAGCGGTTACCGTCGCCGCCGCAGCACCGGCAGCAGTAGGGCTGGTCGGAGTATTGATATTGTGATTAGTAGAAGTCGTGGAAGTGGTAGTGGTAGTGGAACTGTCAGTGGTGCCGGTAGTGGTCGTGGTCGTCGTGGTCGTCGTGGTCGTCGTGGTCGTGGTCGTGGTGGTAGAGGTAGAGGTGGAGTGGTGGAGTGAGTTGTGAAGTGGTGAAGGTGGTGGAGTATTAGTGGTGGTGGCGTGATAGTGGTGGTGGTACTGGTGGTCGTGGTAGTAAGTGGTAGTACTGGCAGTAGTGGTAGTACTTGTACGAGGAGCAGCATCATCAGCATCAGCAACCGCACAGAAGCAACATAAGCTGCAGTGGAGGGGGCAGCGCACTAGACACGGCAGTACTGGCCCGTGGCCGCAATAAGAATCAAGAATCCACACTTTCCTCCTTGTCGTCATCATCACCATCGTCATCGTCTTCATCTTCTGCACCCCCGGCACCGGCACAGGCACCGGTACCACCACCGCCACCACCGCTGCTGCCGCCACCACCACCACCATCATCACCATCACCATCATCATCATCATCATCAATGTTATCATCCTGCTCCTCGTCATCATCATCATCATCACAGTATCATCACCATCGCCCTTATCATCAACATCATCATCAGCAGTAGCAACCGCACCATTCTACTATTACTAGACACGGAGCATAGTGGGTCAGATGGAGTTCCTGCCGGAAAATGGTCCGATCTCCAGTTCT